TGAAAACATTAGAAAGCTACACAACGGTATGGTGCTGGCATAAAGATGAATGGAACAAAGCAGCCCAGAAATAAACTCACACGTATATAGTCAAATGATCTTCAACAATGGAGTCAAGACTACACAATGAGGAAAATACAGTCCCTTCAACAAATGGTGTTTCTTAAAACTGTATATCCACATGCAAAATAATATAATTGGACCGTTTTATTACTCCATACACAAAATCAACTCAACATGGCTTAAGGACCTACACTTAAGATCTAAAATTATAAAACTCCTAGAAGAAAACATAGGGAAATACATTGGTCTTGGCAACGATTTCTTGGATATGACACCAAAAGTGCAGGTGACAAAAACAAAAACAGACAAGTGGGACTATATCAAACGAAAATCTTCTGCACAGCAAAGGCGACCATCAGCACAGTGAGAAGGCAACCTACAAAATGGGAGAAAATATTTGCAAACCGTATATCTGGTAAGGGGTTGATATCCAAAATCCATACGGAACCCCTGTAACTCATTAGCAAAACAAAACAATCTGATTTTAAAAATGGACAGAAGATTTGAATAGACGTTTCTCTTAAAGAAGACCTACAATGGCCAACATGTATATGAAAGGATGTTCAACATCACTAATCAAGAAAATGCAAATCAAAACCACAATGAGATATTATCTGATACCTGTAAGGATGACCATTATTTAAAAAAAAACAACCCACAAGAGAAAATAACAAGTGTTGGCAAGGATGTGGAGAGACTGGAACACTTGTGCACGTTGCTGGAAATGTAAAATGGTGTGGTTCCTTTGAAAACCGGTATAATCTCAAGTAGAAGTACTGTCAGCCCCCAGAGGGCAGTGAATTCACCAGCACATTTATTTAATGTCTACTGTGTGTCACATAGTGTTCTAGGTGGACAAAACTTACAGACACTCCTGCCTTCACTGAGCTTACTTACATTCCAATGGAAAGAGACAGACAATAAATAAACATGTAAAGTATAGAGTATGTTAAATGGTGACAAGTATTGTGAATAAAAGTAAAGCAGGAAAGAGGTGAAAGACAGGTGGGGTGTGTGTGTATGTGTGTGTGTGTGTGTGTGTGTGAGTGTGTGTGTGATTGTGTGATTTCAAATAGGGTATTTGGGGGAAGACCACACTGATAAAGTGACACCTGAGCAAAGGCCTGAAGGCGCGGTAGGGGCAAGCCTTCTAGAGGAAGAGCACTCTAGGGTCAGAGTGCAGCAGGTGCAAATGTCCTGAGGTGGGGGGCATTCTGGCATGTTCAAGAAAAGCAAGGGGACTGATGTGGCTGCAACAGACTAACTGAGAAGACAGTGGTAGGAGTGGAGTTCAGTGGTGAAGCACTATGTCAGGCAGGGCCCGTAGGCCACTGGAAGGACTTGGTTCTTCCTCTGATTAGGATGGGAAAGCTGGAACAACTCCATAAAAATGGCAGGCTTACAAAAGAACTTAAATAAACCTATTTAGGGCCAAAAAGTCAGGTCCTGTGGAGTCACCACCCCTGAGGAACAATCCTGGCTTTGGAGAACTACCACCCCTTTAAGGAAGGAACCTCACAACTGATATCTTTCCTCCACTTCTCCTTCTCCCATTCTGTCACCCACCTTCCACTGGCCTCCACACATACCCCACCCAGCATTCCTTCTGTAATGTTTCCCTATCCTTACCTGTCTGTCAGCAGCTGTCCTACTCCCAGCACCAGATATATACTTTGTAGGACCCAGTGCAAAACGAAAATGCAGGGATCCTTGTTAAAAAAGTAAGAATTTCAAGACGGTAACAGCAGAGCATGAAACCGAGCGTGGGGCCCTCTGCGGGGCACAGGATGCACACCCATGAACCTGGCCCTGCTTATTCCTATTCTACCCAAGAAGGCAGATGAAGGCAAGGCCGTGTGAATGAGGCCTTCCTCCCACCCCAAACATAGCCCCAGTTGGAGGTGCAGGGTAAGAGCGGCCCTTACTACATTCTACAAAGAGCTGAATGGGTGTGGGCGGACGAGAAGGACACACGCAGGAACCAGCAGCAGGAGGGCAGCCTCTTACAGGGCAAGGACAACTTCCTGAGGGGGAAACCTGACACTCAAAGACAGCCCTAAACAGAAATGTTTCTTGAGTACCTCCTTTGCACTGGGCTTGAGGGAACGAGACAACAATGGATGATGCAGGCAAGTATCCACAGTGGTGGACTGAGGCCTCCCTTGGACAGAACGGTTTCCCAGGGGAAATGGGACTGCAGCTGGGCCCAGAAAGATGGACAGAGGGGATATGGAGCTACATTTATATGGGAGAAATGGAAAGTCACAAGGGCAAGCAAGCAGTCAGTGTGTCTGAGGGGCAACGGGGAGGCCAATTTGGCTGGTGGCAGAGGATGTCCCACCAGGTAGCACCATGGTGGGGAGGGCCTTCAGCCTGAAGGCAGTGTGTGTGTGTGTGGGGAGGGGGAGGTGTCAGTGAATGCTCTGAGGAGGGACAGGGACAGGATGAGAGCTGTGCTCTTGGAAGGCTTGTCTGGCAGTGTATGAAGGACAGACGGCAAGCAGGGGTGAGGGCGGGGGGGGGTGGGAACCTACCCAAATTAGATGGGTAGAGCCTTCCTACCATCAGGAGTGGGTCCGCCCAGATGGACAGACACGAGAGAAGGTTTAGATGCACACTTCCAAGCAAGCAACAACAAATAAGAGAACTGTACATCCCTGAGACAAAGTTCTCTGGCAGGATGCCCCAATTACGTGCATCCCGCAGAATTCCTAATTTTAGAAACCAGACTGGAACTTGTCTGACCAAAATAAACCTGGCCCCAAATATTTACTTTTGTCATTATTTTGCAATTGTGGAGGCAGGAAGATCAACATAAGCCCATAAGGTTTTCCATGTTACCCACCAGGATAATTCCTTATGGTGCCCTCTAACCCTTGCTGGAAAAGCTGGTAACTACAATACAGGGGAGTCTCCAAGTAAAAGTAAAAGCTGTTGGCACTGGGTCATTTGTCCCTGTTTTTTGGTCTCTCAAATATCAACTTTGGATTTCATAACTCTTTTGAATTCCTTTTTCGCATGGATAAACAAGACTCCCAATCGTGGGATAGCAACCACAAGGGACAAAAGAGCAAATGGCTGGCCTAGAGAAATTTATTTTCATCACATAAACAGGACACACAGCACTCCTTCCCTCTCTCTAGGCCAAGTAATGGAAACAGCTTTAGTATGAATCATGATGAACTCTGAATTCTTACCTCAAGAATTTTAAGACAAAGAAAATTTTACCTTGGACTAGTTTGAAGAGTATGGCAAGAGACCTGTTGTCTTAGTTCCCAGTTTTCAAACACAGAAACTCTTCCCTGTTTCATTTTAACAAGAGAAAGGTAAAATAGAGTTTAGGCTTGCAAAGTTTTGAGGAAAACAGGCATATGGACAGATGTTTTCATATTAATTTTGAAATTTCATCAAATCACATGTTTGTGTCATTCCTTTGCTCCGATCGTAGTTTTTCTGACAGCCAAAATAAGCGCTTTAATACTGTCTGGATTTTGTATTGTTTTGTAAGTGTGTTGTTTCATTAAAAAAAAAAATAGAGAAAAGCAAGGAATACCTAGAAGGCTTGTTCTTATCAACTAGCTAAGAGTTTAATAATTCCGACGGAAATATGCACATTAAATGTCATTGTCGACAGCCTATGGTTTTAACTGTACATTTTTAATTCCCATAAGAGCATGACTTATTCATTAAAAATTATCATTTTTAATTCCCATAAGAGCATGATAAGAAATCCTCTCAGTTATTTGTTCCTTAACCAGGAATCTTCTAGGGTATATAACCTTTATAAATGGAAAAAATATTAACAAATGACCCCAAGAAACCTCTCGAGATAAAAAATGCTTAAACCACATATTTCAAAATAAACCCCACACTTTGGGGGACTGAACATGGAATAAGAAGTACCATGTGATTCTTCCTACACAGAGTTCCATTCTGCCAAGATCAGATATTTTAAGAACACATCTGAACTATCAGTTGGGATGCAGTCCTCTGGAATTCTTCACGGCATTTTTAGGTTCCCCAGAAGAAGAGCTCAGGGCTCCTTCCTCCAGCTGACTACTTCCGTTTCTCTTCAGGCACACCAGCAACATGGACGGTGACCTCAGCTTTCCCTTCCGCATCCCCCACAATTAACCGGCTGCCAGGCGCAGGTTCTTCTCCCATCTGCTCAGCCATCATCCTGGCCCACGCCACCACCCCTCCCTCCCTGGGACCTGTGCAACTATCTGACTGATGACAGGTCTCTCTGCACCCACTCTTTCAGAGCAGTCTTTTCTAAAATGCAGATGTGGTTAGCCCCTTTCCTGCTTGCAGCCCCTCGGTGGCCCCACCCGGCTCAGACTGGGTTGCTGTCATGTTACAAGAGATGAGGTAACACGAAACACAGAAAATGACGCTCGATGAACTCACCCCTTATTGTCCAGGACGGAAATGCGGCCCTGGCTTGTCAGATGCCCACAGGCTGGGAGAGTCCTGCAGGCCTGCGGGCTCGGAGTCTGGGCTGTGCTGCAGTCCTTCCTCAGAGACACCTGGGCACTCCAGGCCAGGAGGTGGCAAGGCCCCGGCGGGCGAGCACGCTGTGCTCACAAGCCTCACTTCACCAATCACTTGGTTAGGACCTGGAATGCTCTTTCCCATAAATACCATGTGGCAAAGAGTGATAAGGTGCCCATAAAAGCTGATTTAACCCATAACTTAACAGAGCTACCTTTGCGAGGAAAAAGAGTAGCAATCTATTTAGTAAAGATTTCTCTGGCACAGGATATAAGGATGCTAGCTCCTTTCATAAGATGACACCCTGATCCTCTACCCTGGGCAGAGGAGGGAGAATCTCTCCATGGGATGGAGCAACTGGGACGTCGCAGCCCAATCCTTGTCCTGAGATCTGATCTCACTTTGGGAAACCAACTGGCCACTGCTGCCCCTGCTTCAAGTACCTTGGGGCACTGCTTCTCAGGCTGCTCGGGCTCAGTCTGGGCATAGACCCAGGCGTTCATGCTCCACCACACTGTAGGTCTGAGGACAGCACTCAAGAGTCAGACTTAGAGTAACCTGTAGCCGCTGCTAATCACACTCCTCTCCACGGGAACTCCATGGGGCTGTCCCCTGCTATCTCTTCACCCCCAAGCATAGGTCTTCACTCCCCATGACTTGGGAAGAAGTCCTCAGGCACATGTGAATTCTGCAGAGGCAAGGCCTGAGACAACAGGGTACAAAGAGAAGAAAGGGGCTGTCCCAGGATGACCGGGAGGTGTAAGGACTACTGTCTTATAGGAGGTATGTCCGCCTACCACATAGGGAAGGCCTCACAGACCTTGGAAAGTTGAAACAGTCACGCATCAGCTTAAAAGTTGTACACTGTGAGTGTGTGTGTGTGTGTGTGTGTGTGTGTGTGTGTGTGTGGCGGTAAGGGTTGGGATTGCTTTCCTCACACTAGCTATGTGCCGACGCTGACTAGGCACTGAGAGCTTAACACAGTTAAGGCAATGTTTCTGTCCTTGGGAAAGGCCCATACTAACGAGCGGGAGGAGACAGACACACACGCCCCCAGCTACCTGTAACCCAGCCTCTACCCGTGGCCGTATTGACTGTGGCATGAGTCGGACATGTCCTGCAGAATGGCCATTGGTCCCGCACACCCTCTGGTCTGTCCTGCCTGCGGAGAAGACGGTGCCATGGGGCACGTGCTACGCCGGTCAGCCAAGCAAGACGGAGGTGCCGCTCCTCACACGTGAGCGGCACACAGAATCCCAGGCAGCACCTCGTCCCCAACAGCCTCTCCGCAGGCAAGTCACTGAGCCGCTCCGAAGGGAAACTGTTAGCTGGGAAATAAAGGCCCTGTGCCGGCCGCCTCCAGAGGGTGCGAGAAAGGGATGAAGTCACGGGTGAGAAAGGACGAGGAGGCTCTCTCGGCTCCCTCGGCTCCCTAAGGGCTCTGGTTCACAGAGGTTCACGGAGGCTCACAGAGGCCGAGGGTCATGGAGGCAAAACCACGGTTGGTGGAGCCAGGCCCGCAGAGCTAAGAAATGCAGCGGGGAGCAGGGCACATGGGGGTTGGGGCAGGGAGGAGACTAGAACTGGGCTGAACTATTAGGTCTCCTTAAGCCTAAGTGAGCTAATCAGGCCAAAACACTTGCCCCTGTCCATAGGGCAAGGGGAAGGCATCCACATTAAATCCCTAGTGACTGAAAGCACCGCAGTGCAGGGGTGAAAGGGATGGGCGGTCTTGAACCAGGAGCTGGTCTTCCCTCCCAAAAGGTCACTTGTTGAAAATACCACTCTTTACGAGGATGTCTCCAAATCGAAAATGCCACCTGTGCCTGGCCCTCGACCATCCAGACCCAAGTGAGGAAGAGCCCCGGCCTCCCACACACCTCCTGCCAGGGCGCCGCAGTCTCCCCCTCCACTCTGATGTTAAAGCACCAGGGTAGATGTTCACAGGCTGCGGACACACAGCTGCTCTGAGGGGGAGCAAAGCTACAGAACAGCTCAAGCTGCCGATTAAATGGAGGAGACTGCTTCCTTCCTGAGCAGTCCCAGCAGCTCACACGCCTGCTTGCGGCAGCAGACAAGTGAGCTCTAGAGAGAGCTGCCCCCACGGTGCTCAGCCTCACCGAGACCTGGCCCAGGCCAGGCAGCGCTCCAGCGGCTGGAGGGAAGGTCCGAGGAGCTCAATTCTGGCAGCCAGGTCAGTTCGCCCCCCAAGACAGGGTTCTGCAGCACACGCTCAAAGACCTCAAGCGGAGATGTGAATTCCTGTCTTTCATCCCGAAATTGTTTCTCACCACTTAGCTAAATCCTTTCTGTCCTACAGTAGGTTGAGTAAGACTGCCCACCAAAGGCAGCCACATACCCCTGGGACCTGTGAAATGTTACCTTTATGGCAAAGGAAGCTAGTATACTTGATTGCATTAGAGATCTAGAGATGGGGAGATTACCCTGGATTATTCAAATAGGCCCTGTATGTAATCAGAAGGATGCCAAGAAGGTCACTCGTGGGAAGTAGGAGACACGAGAAAAGAAAAGGAGGCTGGAGTGAAGTGAGGAAGGGGTCATGAGCTCAAGAATGCAGGTGCCCCAGAAACCAGAGAAGGTCAGGAAGCAGATTCTCTCCTAGAGCCTCCAGAAGGACACAGCTCTGCCAATACCCTGACTCTAAGCCAGCGAAGCTGATTTGACTTCTGACCTCTAGAACTAGCAGGGAATATGAGTGTTATTTAAGCCTCTAGCAGAGCCTGAGAGAAGCAATCACCCTCAGGGCTTCCATAACTCTCCACCCTCTTAAATGAGCTTTCTGGTCCCTGCCTGCTTTTGCCAGCTCCTTTCTCCAACCATCCTGTGGGTTCCTTCACTGGGCTTACTCACTGAGGGGAATGCCCTGCAAACCAAACTTCCTTCTCTGTCTCCCCTGAGACCCTGCCACACACAGCTACTGGAACCCAGGAGGGTCTCTGAGGGCAGAGGCTGATGGAGAGCCCATTACCCTGAAGAAGGGGAGCCCTGGCCCTCCTTCCATTTGGTCCCTGATGATCCTTCCTCCACTGCAGGCTCCCATCTGCTAACTAATTCTCCGACTCCTGAAACTGCAGCCTCCCACCAATCCCTCAGCTTCTCCAGGACCTGGTTTTGGATTAGCAAATACCTGTTGTCATCAAATCCCTCTGGAAACGGTCCTCCACCCCTGCCCCACCTATTCCTATTCCGGGCTCTACCTCACACTTCACTTTTAAAATAAGATGGAGGTGAAAACATTATTCAGAGATTCTGTCCTAGCATGTCGTGTTAATTAGTAACTTGAGGCAAAATTCCACAACTGTTTTTCCAGGGAAGGGAAAACCTTTAAATTTAAATTCTACATCGGGGCACCTGCGTGGCTCAGTCGGTTAAGCGTCTGCCTTCGGCTCAGGTCATGGTCCCGGAGTCCTGGGATCAAGCCCCGCACCGGGCTCCCTGCTCGGCGGGAAGCCTGCTTCTCCCTCTCCCGCTCCTCCTGCTTGTGTTCCCTCTCTCGCTGTCTCTCTCTCTCTGTCAAATAAATAAATAAAATCTTAAAAAAAAAATTAAATTCTACATTGAGGAAACTGTTTGGAATGTCCTCAGGTAAGGGGTCCTGTCTTGAAAGCAGACTCCTGCAAACAGCAAGGATCCTCTGATCATGAGACCCTAAGTGCAATTTCCCAAGGGTCCAGAGTCCATAGTAGAGTGTCTTCTATAGAAAAGTATAGCTTCCAAACTTTAAAATATCAATGGATGACCATTTTTAAAAGGTAACTCATACAAGGACCTTAATATAAAATCCTGCAAACGGAGATGAGCTGCT